TTGATGATTGTTATGAATAGTTTTTAAGGCTGTGTTTAAAAAAAAAAAATCATATACAATTTTATTATTAAATCTACTAATTTTTTTAATGTATCTATTAATTGTCAACTGTTTTATTGGCATTTTATAAAATGTTAAAAGTTAAATATTAATAAAAAAAATGTGATATCACTAAAACATTGTTATAACAGGGTCTTAATTTCTATATTCAAAGGTCTATTCAGAAAAATTAGCTATTTTGGTAGCTAATAGTTGTTTTAGTAGTGTTTAGCTATTAACTGTTTGAGTAACTTTTCATAAAATGTTGAAAGTTAAGCATTGGATGGGTTAAAGCGGTATTCAACAATAACTTTTTAAGTAACTTTTTGGCTATTTTTTACAGTGTTCGGTATAATAACATTTGAAATAGTTTTTAGAAATTAAGATAGCGTTTTATAAAAAGTTAGTGTATGTTCTGGAAAATTAGTTGTTTTGATAAACTATTAGCTGTTTAAGCAACTTTTTATGAAACGTTAAAAGTTAATGTTTAAGCAACTTTTTATGAAACGTTAAAAGTTAAGTTTTTAATTTTTTACTAATCAAAATATTCAAAGCTACCTAAAATACTATTGTCCAACACTTAAAAAATTAGCTTTTATAAACCATTGAATTTCAAAAAAAAAAAATCCTAATAATTCAAAATTATATTTCCTTATTAAAACGGTGCGTTAGGCTGTTGCAATAATAGGTCCTAACTTTTTTACTCATTCATATTTGTGGAATTCCGGAAATATTAAATATTTTTTTACTGATTTATATTTTTAAAATATTTATTTAATGTGTATTGATTTATATTTTTTTTCTTTTCAAAAAATATTTTTTAATTGCTTATTGCGAGATTAAAGATATCCTAGTGTCCATTTTACGTTATGATTGGATCGATTTTGCAAAAACCGAGCCGAATCGATAGTGATAATAAATTAGCTGCCGAATCGATAGTGATAATAAATTAGCTCAAAGCGCTGACTTTCCTATTGTCGTTTAGCGCCCAATTGGAAAGTCGTATGTTCAGATTCTGGGCCTTCAGTCTGACCTAAAATGTCTTTCATTATACGCCCGTTGGTTATCACTTCTAGGTCAGCTGTATGGCTACAAAATCAAATCATATCTTCACTATAAAATTTATATTTTTTCTTTTATTTTATGGCAAATATTTTTCATATATTCTTTTAATGCTTAAGATTAAAAAAATTAAAAATGATAATTTTAAAAAGAAAGTCCCTTTTCATATTTTCACAAAATAAATTGTTAGTTACGCTAGCTAATTTTTGATAGGTAGAATGCAATTAATTTTTGAGATCTAAATAAGGCATTGTTTAACATAAATTGTTGGAAAAAAATTTCCATATGCATATTATTTATCATAATAAATTAAAAAATCGAAAATAGTGTTTTTTTTTTTTTTGAGTATTGAGGGAGAACGATTCGAATCTGAATTTATTATTAGGTCGTATATGCATTTATCACTAGGTTATATCTTAAAATGTAAAATTTGAAAATAGGGTTGAATTACACATTAATTTAAAGTTGCTATGAGCTTATAGTTCAACTCAAGATCCTAATTATAGTTATCTAAAACATTTTCAAAAAAGACAAAGTAGAAAGAGAAACCTATAAGGATTGAGAGATAGAAATATAGAAAAAGAAGGTCAGATTGAGGAGAGTATTAAAAAATGAAAGAAAAAAAAAAGATGATTTTATAAAATAATAGAAAAATAGGGAGAAAAATAAAGAGAATATGAGGAGGTAGAGAGGAAAATCTCGAAATGTCATTTTTATTCTTATTGGTGAGAAGCCACATATATATAATAGGAAAAAGAAGAGTCCTACATAAATTAGAAAGATAGAGTTTTTACTAATTAAGAATACAGACTTTTAGCTTATGTGAGATATCCACTGATTTCATAACAAGTGAGTATATTTTTGTCTAAAATATTTAATTATAAAAACTTATGAAATTTATTTAAAATTTAAAATTATATAATTATGTCTATCCCATAAAATTAAATTTGCTAGAACGAATCCAACGTTCTTAGATATAATAAAGACGGTAAATATTAAACATTCAATTGAATTTTATAAAATTAAAATATTGAAAATTAAATTTAGTGCCTCTCAAATTAGAAAAATGACTATAAACCAAAATTAATTGTCAGAATGTTTATAAATTTTTACAAGGAATTTTCAAAAAAGATAAAAAAGTTATTCCATATAAGGTAAATCTTGAAATTACCTATAGAATAAATCTTGAAATTCTATCAGTAATTATGATTACCAATAGAATAGTGACAAAATTCTTTTGTCGGTAAAGTTCTTGTCACTAATTTTTTCCGATTAATAATTTTTCTGTTGGTAAATCAATTATTTTTAATTCTTCAAAATTAAATTATTTGATCGATAATTTATTGAGACATATTCGGTATATATAATATTAATCAGAATTGCAATTTTTATTTTTATTTTAAATTAATATACTAATTATTGATAATTATACTAATTAAATTGTTATACTATTCTAAATAAGAAAATTAACAAAAAAAGCACAAATAAGAAAAACAAAAGAAAATGAAAAAAAAAAAGATGGAGGTGGAGAATAAGAAAAAAGAAGAAAAGAGGAGGAAAACAAGAAAAAGAAGAAAAAAATTTATGAGAATAAGAAAGAAACAAGAGGAGAAAGGAAAAAAAAAAAAAAAAAAAAAAAAAAAAAAAAAAAAAAAAAAAAAAAAAAAAAAAAAAAAAAAAAGGGAGAAAATAAAAAAAATGCATTGATAAGAAGAACCAAAAAACGAAGAGAAGAAGAGACAGAAGAAGAAGAAGCAACGAAGAGAAGAAGAAGAAGAAGAAAAGCAGAAGAAGAATGAAGAAGAAGAGCAAGAAAGAAAAGGAAAATGAAGAACATGAGGGCGCTGAAGGGAGAAAAAAAATAGAAGAAAGACAGAAGAAAGAAGAAGGAAGATGATTATGAAGAAGGAAGAAAAAAAAAAAGAAATACAAGAAAGAAAGAAAAAAAAGGAGAAGAAAGCTAAGGTAAGAGAAAAAGAAAATGAATCAGAAATTAGATGAGGAAAGAACAAAGGGTTGATGCTTAAAAACAATATATCAATCTTTAGTGATAGAATTTTTTTGTTGCTAAATGCTGAAACTCTATTACTAAATATTATCTTTACCGGCCATTTATTCCACATAAAATATTTAATTTTTTTTTTAAATTGATAGGTAAATACCTACAAATTAGCAACAAAAAATTTTATCGCTAATTAGTCGATAATCTATTAATAATTTATCACTAAATTGTGTCGTTTACCATTCGTTTATGCCATTCGAAATTTAAGATTTTTATAGAAATCAGTCGGTAATTTATCGGTAATTTATCGGCAATTAGTCAATAATTAATTTGTCAATAATCAATTAGTAAATAATCCAAAATTAGTGCGAACTTATGGTGCGCTTTTAACCTTAAATTGGTCGGTAATTTGTGGTAAATGTCCGTAATCAATTGCTAAAATTCCATATAACTCTTTGTTTCATTTTAAAATTAAATTTTTTCGTTAAAGAGTGCTAATCTATCCGTCCGTAATTACTAATAAAATCTGCTTGTCGATAAAATCTCTTGTCAATTCTAAAAGCTGATTTATTTATAGTGTATATTGTATGAAAATGGACTTTTTTTATTTTTACACAGATTTAAGAAAAGATTGTTAATATAGTTTAAAAATAAAATCTTATTATTTTTTTTCCTTTAATATGCGGCTATATTTAATATTTAAATCACTTAGAAATAATAAGAATCAAATATGAATTATTCGATAATTCAAAACATATTAAATATATAGGGAATATACGAGAAATTACCGAAATTAACTTTACTTAAAAAAGGGGGAAATATGGGATCTATAATTTATAACAAATGAAAACAAAACAGTGTTAAATAAGAGTAAAATTACTAATAAAATACTTGATATTGATTGAATTTCCGCTGCACTTAGAATTCTATATTCTGTTTTTAAAATCCAAAATAGTTTTTAGAAAACTCAATTCACCCCCCTTTTGGGTTGTGCCATACATATACGGGACCCACAATCAATATTTCATAAATTTAGAGTTGAACATATACATAAAAAGATGTATTTAGAGCAAAATATATGTTTTTAAGTTCCAAAGTTAATTTTCAAAGTTAACTTTTTTAAATTTAGCTATAGTCTATAATTAATAATTGTATTACCAAGGATCTAGGTTAATCAAACATGGAGGAAAAGAGGAGGGGCGCTGGACTTAAAGGTTAGGATAGGCTCATGCTAAAAAATCACTTGACAAGAATTCTCTTTTTCTTTTCTATTTCAATTAGATCAATTAATTATGCATATAGAGGGGACGTGTTACTGATTAATTGATGATTAGCCACAAAAAAATGCTCAGAGACTGACCACATTATTATTGCATTTGGCCTCTTTATCTTTATAAACACTTGCTCTAAAGATACCTATATCTATCGAACCATTAATTATCACAGTATATTATAGGCCCACTAATAATAATTCCATGAAAGTAATTTATGCTTCCTTGGACTATAAAAATATCAAATAGAAAAGTATGAATCATAAAATTTCAATTAAAAAAGTTATGTTGAGGTGAAATGATTATTATAAGATTAGTTGAGACTAGAGGAGATATAGCTCCCAAAGACACATCATGAAGAATTGATATTTATTTGGTGACATGTTAGGTATATATATAAGCGAATAACTATAAAGAAGGAAGAGAGGAAACGACGAAAAGAGAGAGAGTATTAATATGTCTTAATTCTGATTCCAAAACGCAGATCCGGAAAATGCGATAGATGAGAAACGACGTTGACAACAGATCTTATCACACGAGATGTGAAGACCCACAGCAAAAGCAAAGCAAGGATTCGGATCAGAAGAATCCGTAGAGAAAATCTCGAAGCCAAACAAGTTCCGAAAATGGCAAGAGTGCAGTTGACGTTGAGAGCTTTTGTAGTGAGCTTTGTATTGGGGGTTTTGTTCAGGTTCATAGTTTTTATGAAACTGAACCTTACGACTGGTATTATTCCGTCGCTAAATGTTTCTGCTGGGCTTTTGGTGTTTCTTCTTCGTCAAAAACTCTGACAAAGTTTCTTCAGGAAAGCTGGTTTTCTTTAAAAACAGCCTTTTACGAGGCAGGAGAAAAACACCGTCATCATCCAAACTTGCGTTTCGCCACTCCGGCATTAGCGTTTAGCCGGTACGTATATGTCTCTTATCTTATCTTTTGTTTTTTTTTTTTTTTTTCCAAAATCCTTTTTTTGTTTTTTATTTTATTTAATTTATATTTTTCTTTACTGAACTTACCTCATCACTTGAATTGACGTGATTAATTTCAAAATATTATTTTTTTTTCTTTTCAGAAGAACTTCAAAAAGAAACTTTATTTTGATAAATTTGAGGATGAAATTATATTAAGGGAACTAAAGCCAAATTAGTTTAAAAAAAATATTTTTTGAAGAATTATTAGTTGAATTTTAAGTGATTTCTCCTATAAAATATTAATGGAATTAATTAAAAACTATATTTAATTACATTATATTTTATTTTAGGACTCAATCAAATTGAATTTAAAATTATAAAAAATTTATAAAATAAAAATTTCTGGCTTATAATATAAATTCAAAAATTAAAATTTTTAGAAAGTAATATATTGTCCCTAGGAGCCACCACTGGAGCCTAACGTACCAAAGACCAACTTGGAATTAATCCATATGTTTCCCTAATTGGAAAATCAAAAATGAAAATACAATTAATGCTAATTAAATGTATTTCTTACCCTAATATTATTAAAAATTTGTAAAATAAAAAATTTAAAAATTTTAATGAATAAAAAAAGAATCTTCAATGATACAGCCCAACCAAGCAATGCCTGAAATTTGCTGAAAAAGAAAAAAACCAACTTGGAATGATTCATTTGTTACGTCCCTCCTTGGAAAGTAATAAGTTATCCACCTAAACGCGGACGTGTACAGCCTAAGATGAGATAATAATTTTCTTTTCCTAGTTCACCCTTAAAGCCTGTACATATACGCAACTCGGTTGAACACTCCTACCCACAGTTATTATACAAAGTGTGGACTTAACAGTTATCATTTGTTCAGTGTATTTGTCAATAAAATAAAATAAATATTATAAAATAAACAAAATAATAATAGAAAAGCGTTGGCTAATGACTATTATAGAGTTAAAGAAAAAAGAAAAAAAAAATGTAGACCTAATAATTGCTGTGAAAGGAACGACTCTATGTCCAACTATTTTACTGAGGAAGCATAAACGGGACATGCGTTTAATGGAGCTATACATATATAGACAAAAGAAGGAAGGTTACTGTTCTCCCATGGAATTAAAATAAAGTTGATAAAAAAGGATTCAGATTTTCTTTTTTGTTTAAATTCCAAGTAATATTATAATTTGGCTTTTTGTCAATATGGATTGAATTTCTTTTAAATACTGGCATTATACTTGTTTCTTTATCCATTTAATAGCTAGGTCGTATTTGTTTTTTTAAGTTTTTAACACAATAATTAATCATGTGTTCTTTGTTGATGCAAGTCGTTATACAAGGACTTGTTTTGAGGTTGAACCAACCCATAAAAACCTCTATTTTGCCACCTTTCCTAAATGAGGCGCCCACAGCACCATAAGCAGACAGTCTTAATGATCTTTGAGAATGCTGGAAATTAAAACGCAATTTTTTGAAAACACTGTTTAATTTTCTTGATTATTGGATGTAGTACTACTAATTTAATAGTATATTGTACTGAATTGAATTAATGTATAGGTGGTTTTGCGTAGTCTACCTGTTTGGATATTGCAGTGAAGTTGTGGCCTAAACAGTCAGTAGAAGCTGGCCAATCCACAAAACGTAAAGAACCCATCTCTCCGGATAGGATCATTGGCTTTCTTTTTGTTGTTAGCTTTCTTGGTCCCTCTTCTCGTTGTGGTTGCACTCTTCGAAAGTATACATTTCCCAACTTCTCATTCTAACTCTACAATTTGACTTTATGTATGTGAAGAAAGACCATTCAACTAGTTCCTGAACCACATTGTTATTATTTATCATCATCAGGACCATATCAAGGAATAAAAGCCTCCAGTATAGTTAATAGTAAAGTAATTTCATTGTTTCAAGTTTTATGTATCTGGTTTTTACACTTCTGAAGAGTTACTGAGATGTTGTATCTGCTTTCAGATAATGAGGTTCATAGACTTCAAATTGATTTATCCAAGTGGGCACACTGCCACTGCACATCTTATCAAACAGCTTTCCACACCCCCTCCAGGAGCCAAGTTAGTCAAGGTAAGAGTTGACCATTTTCTGTCAGATTAAATAAATCTAAACAGTTTAGTCTGATTGTCTGTTTATTTTTATCGCAGGAACAAGTGAGAGAATTGGGCAAGTTTTTTCTCTTTTAGCTTTTGTGGGGTTTCTTCCAATTGGTTTTTCCACTGCCTGCAAGGATGGTTTGGGATTCTGTAAACTTCCTACATTTGGCCTCAAAGCCTATGAACCAAAAAGTACCATATTTACTTGATCCTTGCTCCATTATTAAAGTGCAGATTTTATTTCTATTTTGTTTGCTCAGTATGATTTCAATACTACTGAGTTAAACGCTTGTGTATATATGAATACTTACCACTTGGTAACCATGGAGTGCTGTTTCTATACTTCATATGCTATTGCATACAGTACCAACTGATGTACCTATATTGCCATGTTCGGTGATATTTTTTCTTTATGGAAAGCAGGTTTTATTTGATTTTTCTGCCTACCTATTAGTTGGTGTTGGGATTCTGTCCATATCCTAATCAACATATCTTTTGCTTGTTGGAGCGATTCTCTCATGGGGTATCATGTGGCCTCTCATAGACAAGGAAAAGGTCATGGGATTCTGCAGAAACTTAGCTTCAAGCAGTCTCATGGCCTGCAAGGTTATAAGGTGATATTATTTGCTTTTCCTGCCTACTCAAGAATCTGGAAACCGATGGATTATTTCTTAAGTAGTAGATAGGACTAGGTTTTGACATTACTATTGCTAATTTAGCAGTTTTTTTAGGCAACAATTAAACTTGCAATTTGATCATTTGAGGGGGTCTGAAATTGATTTTGGAAAAAAAAAACACAACCAAAGACAAATTTATTTCTTTCTCTAAAACGATTTCAGGTTTCCACAAAAATCAAATTAACAGTACACTATTATTCATTAGGTCGAAAAACCTTTCTTTCTTATTGGTTTGACTCAAAAAAACTATATTAGCAACAAGTAAGCTACTATTGCTGTTAATATATTGGAATTGGAAGGTTTGAATTGGAAGGTTTCATAATCTATATTGCTTTTTACCCTTTCCTCAGGTTTTCATAGCAATAGCTATGATCCTTGGTGATGGTGCCTACAATTTCTTCAAAGTCCTTGGAAAAACTCTATTTGGTCTTTACAAACAATTCAATAATAGAAATGTTCTACCACTAGCATCTCCTAAAGCTTCTTCACCTCTATCTTATGATGATACAAAACGAACCGAATTATTTCTCAGAGACCAGATTCCAGCTTGGCTAGCTGTTACTGGCTATGTTATTATTGCAATAATCTCTGCAATTACAGTTCCTCGCATTTTCCACCAGCTTAAGTGGTACTATATTATAGTGATATACATAATTGCACCAGTACTAGCCTTGCAAATGCCATATGGCATGTGGGTCTAACGGTTAGGTCTTTAGCTCATCCACTTATGGAAGCTAGCTATCTTTACAATTGGAGGCACATGGCAGGATTCATCTCATGGTGAGTTCTTGCCAGGTTAAGCAGCATGTGGTGTGATGATGAATATTGTATCTACAGCATCTGATCTAATGGCAAGACTTCAAGAACAAGGTTACATTGACATTGACTTCACCTCGGTCCCAAGTTGTTAGTCAAATAATTGGAACTGCAAATGGCTGTGTAATTTCTCCTTGTGTTTCTTGGGCTGTTCTATAAAGCTTTCCACGGACCTTTGGGTCTTCTCCGAATCAGGAATCCCAGCTCCTTATGCTCTTTTTAATCGAAAACATGTCAATTTTAGGATTGAAGGGTTCTCAGCTTACCCAAAGCCACTTGCCTCACTCCTCTGTTACATTTTCTTCGGCTGCAGCCCATAGTTATTAATGCTATTAGAGATGCAGTGGGAAAGAAAGAGAGCTCGGTTCATTCCTCTTCCTTACTGCAAATGGCAATACCTTCCTATCTTGAATGGCAATGGCAATACCTTTCTATCTTGGAGGGTATTTCGCCATTGATATGTGTGTTGGGAGTTTGATATTGTTCATCTGGCGAAAGGTCAACAAGGGAAAAGCTGACGCATTTGGACCTGCAGTTGCTTCTGGTTTGATTTGTGGGGATGGGATATGGACTTTGCCTAGCTCAATATTGGCTTTGGCAGGAGTAAACCCACCAATCTGTATGAAATTTCTGTCAAGAAGCCAAAACACAAAGGTGGATAGTTTCTTAAGCTCCTAAAACTTGGGTTTAGATATAGGTTTTCCTATCTTTTAATATGGCTTTAGTGACCTCCTCTTGTGCTTCTTACTTTAGCAGTGTGTTTCCCCCTTTTAGAATACATTCATCAAAGGTATATTTTATTATTCCTTAGCTTTGTTTGCTAATGGGTTTTATTATGTTTACTGTTAAGGAAAACTTGGTATTGTTATTATTGCATTCGAAGTGTTTTTAGATAGTTTAAAGGCATGCACGTGAAATGGAAAAAAGAAAAATATATCATTTTACTGTTCAGTAAGTAGTATTGGCTAATGAAGTGAAATATGAAGACAAATACTAATCATGTAGGATACTCATACCATCATATTCTTTCTTCGTTCTACTATTTTTACAAAAACAAATTTATATTTTTTCTTTACTTCTATTTTCCTCTGAATAGAAAATTTCTGAGGAATTGTCTTTCAAGATTCATGTTATTTGCTAAGTTTTTAAGATTGTATTTTAATATATAATGTCATAAATATGAATGAAATGGGAACAGTATATCATTTTGATATGAGTTTTTCTTTTCTTTTTCTTTTTTTTTTTTTTTCTTTTTTTCTTTTTCTTTTTTTTTTTTATGGTAAAAATCTAGCTTACATACTAAATGTCATTTTAATTTAATTATTATTATTTGATAGTTCTTAGTTATAAATGAAAATGATGTAGAAAATATTATTGGTTGTTTTTATTACATATCTTCCTACGCAACTGTTTATATAATGACTTCCGAGAATATAATAATTAGTTAAATTGGAAAATTTTAATTTTTTTTATAGTTTTTTAAATATTAGCAAAGTCTTGCAACTGCCAGTAAATTTATTTTTTTTAAGGCAAAATTAGCGCTGAGATAGACTGAAATCAAATTAAGTAACAGTATTTGAAATGAAAATCAAAAGGCGTTTTAGTACCGCTCGACATAGAATAAACATGAGTTATATGCAACGTATCGCTAACTTTTAGCAAACGAAATAGAACAATCAAAAAGGTCATATTTCGAACGATACATTTTAGAAACAACTTCAACGAATATATAATTCTAAAATATTAATGCTTATGTTGGAAACATATTTAAAAATATTAAAAGTGATGATTGTGATTATTTTAGTTTTCATTACAGTTAATTTTTTTGTATTAAAGAAAAAATACTTTTTTTATTAAATAACGGAGGTTACAAATTAAATAAATCTAATGAATAATCTCACTATAATAATATATTTAACCATTTAATGAATATTAAATTTTTAATTAAAAGTTTTTTCTATAAAAAACAATGCAACAGAGTATAATATAGTTACATTGCTAGTGACAAATAAAGTTAAAATATTATTTCAATTCACTAACAAATTTATTTTATAAAAAGTTTAAATCTTCTTCTTATACCTCATTCAATTATAGAAAATTTAAAATATATGAGAATCAAAGAGAAAAAAATAATTAAAATAATAACTATATTAATTTAAATTAGAATAATTAATTATGCCTTAATAAATATTTCATTTTTTATTATTTGAAAATTTCAAAAAGGAGTATATAATTTCACCTTTCACCATTTTATAAAAAAAATAAAAAGTAAATTAATTTAATTAAAGTAACACAAATATAAACCACAATAGTTTTCTTATAATTTTATGATTTTAATTCAACATCAAAATTAAAAAAACAGGAAAATTACATAATTTCGCGCATTCAACAGTCTAGTTATTATAATAAAAAAGAATCTTTCATATCCTTTTATTTAGAGCTTTGGAAAAACATTTTGTTAGAGAAATCGTTTCAAAAGATTACACGGTGAAGCTTCTGTCTGACCCAACTTAGCGCTTCACGAAAATGAGATTGCCTTCAGCCACTTGAGGGATTTGTTATATGCTCGATTTTGCTCTCATATTTATTAAATTGAAAATCCTTCGTTTTCTTTAATTAATTTAATATCGATAATTTTTTTTAGATTTTCTTCAATTTATAATTTTTCTAGATATTGGATACATTTTAGAATTCAAATTTTGATTTGGGCTAAGATAAAACTATAGACCAATCAGTAAAAAGCCCAAAAATTATTAACGTAGCCAAAAAAGAAATTTCAAAATAATTAATGATTTATCATAAAGTAATTAGTAATTCTTAGAGGATAAACAAAAAGGAAAAAAAAAAAGAGATTAAAGGATTGATGACGAGAAAAAGGAGTCCAACGGAGTAGGTTATTGTTTATCATTTGAAAAGGCTAAAAAAATAGGAGAGAAACAGAGATAAGAAGAGAATACTCGAAAGGACCCCCAAAAAAGTTTTTTCAAGCCCAGTATTCAACAAGGAGGAGAGTCATATTTATGTTTATATTGTAATATAAAGCAGTATCAAAAGAAATAACCATTTCCAATGCAAACTCTCTCGGGGCTAGCCTTTTGTCTTCCATTAAAACAGACCACAAGCCAGAATAACCTCATGCAAGTATTAAAAAAAAAATAAAAAAGAAAAAGAAAGAAAAAGGAAAAGAAAGAAACAGCACCCTTCAAAAACATTTGATAAGTCAATTGCACCCCAAAAACGTTTTTTTTTCAAGCATTTGCTCATTTGTTAAAAATCAAATTGCATAAGAAGAAGTTACAATCTTTTCTCCCCATGCGATAAAATACTCAACGAGTGCATGTGTATTGCATGCTTATAATTTCAAACGCCGCGTCCTGTGTCCAAAGATAATTGCCATGTTGCTTAGCCAATGCATAATAAAATATTATGGGCCACAACCAATCTTGGAGAGAAAGAAAATCTATTTCATCAATAGATGTTGAAACTGAGGCCTGTAAGTTTAACAAAATTAAGGCATAATAACAAATCTATTTCATCAATAGAGTGAAACTGAGGCCTGTAAGTTTAACCAAATAAGGCATAATTAACAAATAAATAAATGTAATTGAAGGTTTTCCAAAATAGATTTTAAACGATACTTTTTCTTTTTTTTTTTTTCATGTAAAAAATTTTCAATATTATTGATAGAATAATAAAGAACTATTCGATCTATATGATATTAGAACTTGCTTGACAGGATCCATAGCCACGCTTGTGGACTAAATTAATGAAATGGAAGATTTTTTTAAAAACGTTCCAAGTTTATCCTTTTTTTTTTCAGTGTATGGTCAGAAATACCCTCGTTTCAATAAGAAATTTTATTCTCATTGCTTTGGTCTATAAGCAAGGCCTTGGACCCGGTCTAGGTAAAATTTTTCCATGATATTAAGCGATAAATTAATAATAAGCAACACGATAATGCAAATTCAACCAAATACAATTAAGCTTCTAAAGAATAATTGGATTGTAATACTATTGATGTACTGTACTATGTATGCAACACGTTAGTAGACTCATATAACAATATATGACTTAGATAATTAATCTGATATGTATAAGTATAAAACTATAATTGAAGATTGAATGACAGACACAGAAACCATAATATATTTTTCAAATTAATATTTTTTTTTTTTTCATTTTGTTTACATTTATATCAGAGCCACAAATACCTAGATTGAAACCAACTGTAGAATGTTTGCTCTAGCTAGTCCTAAAGATGAGGATTGTAATTTGCTTTGTTATTTTAATACTTGCACCATTCAGGTTCTTTCTGTTTAGTACTCTGCTATTGAGGCTGTTGATGGTGAATGCTATTTTTTTCTTTCTAGCTGCCCGTCGAGATAGATTATTATGACAAGAGTCATTTTGCCTTTTTGATTACTCTTCACACAGTAAACATTTCCTTTCACTAATAGTGTAGTCATTTTACTTTTTCTAATTCTTTCTAACCTAAATAAAGATTTTGTTTGTTAGAATAAAAATTTATTTTTGTAATAGCTTCAAAATGATATTAATTGCATTTTTTATTCATTTTTATCCGTGATCCTTTAAATTACTGATACTAAATGAGGTATAAATTTATGACTATGAAAACGAAGAGAAGATTATAACATCGATTGGAACCAAAACAATAAACTGAAGCATCACTGAGGGGCATCACTGAGGGAACCTACATCCGTTCTATTGTTTAAATTAGATGTACCTTTGAAGCAGGACGCAGTGTCCTTCATGTAAACTTTTTCTCTCTATTATTTTTTCAAAATAAAATGAAAATTTGTTGAAATTTATGTAAATTAAATTGGTATAATCCTATATGGTATGCCAATAACTATCATGTTGGGTACCAATTAGGGTTGCATATGACTCGATTCAATCCACACGACGGGATCCATTTAATCCAACCTTATTTAGTAGGTTTGAAAATAATAATCGGGGGGAGGGGGTTCAACGAGTCATTTTCATTATGCACGGATTGAATTGGGTTGGGTCATGGATTCATTATGTAAATCCTCAAACTTAATCCAATCCGTAAATAATATCAAATTATGAATTATTTGAGTTAATTTAATTTATAATTTTGAATATATTACTATAAATTATTTTACATATTTAATAGGACCTTCCTTTTAAATTGGTAAATGGAACCTGGATAATTTAATAGGACCTTCCTTTTTAAATTGTACGTTTAAATGGAAATCTGGATAATTATTATTTTATAAAAAAACTTATTTTAAAAATTATCTTAGAATATTTGTGATTTATATAAAAATTATTATATAATTTTATATTTATAAACTATATTTAATTTTATTTATTTAATTTTATTGATATTTGTCTTAAATAATTGTATTCTATTTAAAATTATTTATATTATTTATTAATTATTTGACCTGCGTGTTTATGCTGAATCTATATCTAATTTAATTTATTTATACTCCGTAAGATATAAATTGAAATAGATAAAAGTTATTTACCCGTACATATGGATAGTGTATTTTAAATGAATGAACCTGACTCATATACAGCATGACCCACCAATATATAGCTAGTGGGCTAGAACCCATGTACAGCCCATGAGCCCAACCCAAGAGAGTCGATAGAGCCCTAGTTTCCGATATATAATATTCTCTTATATCTTCAACAAACCCGAAAGTCATCTCCTTCCTCCGCTAGCCGCTGCACTTACATATATTGACAGAGAAAACTCTGTGATAGCTTCAAAGCAATGGTAAGCGAAGAGTTTCTTTCTCTCCAATAAGTTTGTTCCTGCAAAAAAAAGATGTTAACTGATTAGTGTTATTCGTTTTCTGATAGGCACCCAAGACCAAGAGGAATTTAAGGTCCTCCTCCTTCCTCTAAGCCCGCCAAATCCTGGTGGAAGGGAAAACAGCAAGAAGAAGGGTATTTTT